AAAAAGGGAGATTTAGGTAATTGCTTCCACAAGTATTTGGCACACAGTTGAAATAGAATTCCTAATCTCTATCATGTGTTAAACACCAATTACTTGTATGAAATCAAATCAGAAGATAAGATGTCTCAAACCCCCATGCATTTACAGTGACACAGAACTTGGTGCATGGGATCAAACTTTGGGATTTTGCATTCTATGCATACATCACTGTCCATCTGCATCAGCAGTGTGTTCAGGAACACACTGAATTGTGTTCAGAAATTGTGAAACAATCTATATCACTTTCATTTTTGGAAACTGTATGATAGTTACCCTTTTGAACATTTTGTAATTGCAAGTCATAGCTGCCAGTGGTTGATCAGTTGGGTATGGTGAATTGCAGTGTATATCAATGCCACTAGACAGGAGGGTATAATTTCTCTTGCTGAAGAGAGTGAAACTTAGTTCTGCAAAGAGAAGATTACCGATAWTAATTGAAGGCATGAATGCAGCTGAAAAATAAAATCTTATTAGCTGCATTAAGAATTAGCAACATGGAACAAATTACCCTTAACATTAAAAACTAAAATTGGTACTGCATTTGGGGTAATGATCTACTGGTTGGCCTGAGGACATTGCTAGTGACGCTAATGTCTTTAAGCAGTGGTAAAAGGCACCAGCCTGAGGTTTACAGTAAAGTGGCTTACCAACAACCACAGACATCCCTGATCCTCCCCCCTTGCTTATCTGTAGGATACAGCTGTTGCTGAAACCAAGTTAAATGTTCCCGTCTTAGAGAAACAGATTGACAGGGATACTGAAAATATAAAATCTATTCCCTATGCACAGACCTCAAAGAAAAGCAAAACACAGCAGAGAGTGATATTTTTGCCCAGAAAGAACTCATGAAGGCCATAAGGTCAACTTCTGAATTGCTGACAACTAAGCCTTTTTGATCTCGTGGTAATTTAAATAACTTTTCACAGTCTTCTCTAGAAGACTTTCATTTTATGACACATTTATTGCAGATTAGTTACTCTCTGCTGCTTTTTGCCATTGTAAAATCTAATGAGCATAGAAGCTAATGTAACATTTTGGAAATGAAACATCATGGAGCTGGAGACTGCAGGTGTTGTGATTCTGCATGTTAGCATCCTTTATTTACCTCATCCTTATATTTTATCCATTTGGCAGCAGGAAGAGCCAAGAGCTCACAGGATGTACATTGGGGTACCTCCTAGTTCTGACATTTCCTACTGCTCATTGACACCACCTTACAATCTCAGTAACTCTTTTCTCCTTATCTTGTCCCTGCAGCCTCAATTACGTCAGATTGCAGCCTTGGGGTATTTTCTCTTTCTTTCCCTCCGCCCTATGGTTAATGTCCAATAATGGCTCAAAACTCTGTGGTAATATTGCATACTATAAAGGGACATTGTTAGCCTTGCTGCTGTTGGTCTGTACTTCTGTCTCCTACTTTATAGCTTTGTATGTARTTATACAACAGAACATCTTACTGCAAGATATTTTCACTGTAAAAGCATTCTTATTTATATCATATTCTGAGTTGGAAAACAATAAAGCCTGTAAAGTTCAAACTGTAAAGTTGACCTTCTTTTGTCTTGCATTACCATGGGTGTCATCATTTTGTTCCTYTAATGTCAGTCAGTCCATGGTGAGAGGAAGGACTGGGGTTTCATGAAACATTCCTTCCTTACTGAACATAATATAGAAGCACTTGGTGTTTCTTCTTGGCTGGGCATGCCCACATGAGTGAGAAAGGCAGTATAGCTCTCTTCTGTCAGAAGTTCAGATCTATTTCTGATACAGTTTTGGCATCAAAAGGAATTTGGGGGAAAAATGCTATTTTCTTTCACAGCTTGCGAAGGACCCATTGAATAGCAATCCAAATACTGCTGATGAGGAGAAAGTATGCATTCATTTGCTCACCAGTTTAGATTCTGTGTGGAAAAGAGGCTTTCAATAAAACATGCATTTTTGTTTTGTTTTCTCTGTTACACAGAGCTCTCCTACAGCAACGGGCAGATTATGGTAATGTCTTAGACGAACAAGCAGTGGTTGTGTGGTTACTGAGTGGGATCTTTGCCTGCAGTAAAATTTTACATTACAAACTAAGTGTGACAACAGAATTGCATGCATAAACCCTGGGAGCTGGGACCTATTTACAGCAAGCTGCCTGGTTACATTATGCCCATGACTGGAAATCCCTTCAACTCTGGAACTAGTCTTGCCCCAGTTTTTGAAGGCATGAGTTGTTCAGGCCTGGTCTGAACAGCACCGAAGCATTTCCTAGATGGCTCTCCACAGGCCATACCATAGCCCATTTATTCATTCATGTCATTCATGAATAAACTTGTAAACTCATAGGAAATAGGAAACATGGTACTTGCCAACTTTACCTTAAAGAGTATAGATGCTCATTTGAACTGTGGCCTTTTAAAATTTYATGACCTGTGAATTATTTTTGAGAGGAATAAAAAGATTGTGCCAAACAAATTGATAATTGAGCTTAAAAGGCTTTATACAAATAGAAAAATAGGCAAAAAGAGATTGAATGTGAAGCTACTTCAAGCTTTAAGCAGGAAACTGGACTAGGAATTTCTCATGTCCAAACAGGATTATCCTATGATCCTGTGATGCTTATACATTTCTTGGATTACTATATAATCACCTGTGTTTCTCTCCTGTGGGGAGAGACCTAATGTTTAGCTATGAGAGGTAACTTCCCCTCTGGGCAATATGCCATTAGTGTGGGGTTTCTCCAATAACTKGTCAGGTTTCTCTCAATAACTCTATGTAGCCCCTCAGGATGATTTGCAGATGAACTGGGTTTGCCTGGCCAAGTTTTGGCAGTGGGAGGGTCTGCAGGGGTGGCCTCTGTGACAAACTGCCAGCAGCTTCCCCCATGTCCAGCAAGCCAGTGCCAGCCGGCTCCAGGACAGACGCATCACTGGTCAAGTGTCACCCAATTAGAAATGGTGGTAATGCTTCTGTGATAACATATTTAAGACTCTGGGTGTTTTTAAGGTGTCGAGAGAACTTGAATGAGTATTAGTACTTGTAATAAAATAAGAATTAAGCTTCAGTACGTAACATGAATTGCAAGAGAGGGGTGTAGATAATTGTTTTCTTTACACCCTGGAAATAGGAAAACTTTTTACATATTGCAAAAAGTAGCTGTTTTCTTCATGGACTCTTAAGTTCTTCAGCTAAGTAAATGATATTCTACTGTGTTTATCTTGATTGTATCATTCTGCTTTAGTCTTGTTGTTTGTTGACCATTAGAATATGCAGTTCCCCTTCCCGACTGTTTACTGTGAATGACGCCCACACTGGGATTTTAAAATTGGCTATTAAGTGTTTGAAGATTTTGCATTTTTACTTACAGGAAGATAAAGAACCTGTTTACATTTGCATTGTATATGGTTTCTGGAGCAGCTGTTTATGCCAGTAAATCAGTGTAAGATTCTTGCTGTGGTTACCCAATGGCACCTAATTGAAAGCTTTCATCTCATTCCYCCTGTTTTCAGTAAATTATTTCCTCCCAGAGTAAATATTTTTCTCCATTTCCACTGTTTGTTCACTATAAAACAAGAGTACTCATTAATGAATCACCAAAAATGTCAACAGAAAGAAATAAGCTACTATCGGACATTAGGAATGGGGAGAGTTTGGGAAGAAAAGGCTCTTTGGGAGGACCAGGGCATTTCTCTGGTCCTCTCAGCTATACTGGATGCTTTCCTCAGTAACTCATCAGTTCTTGCTTCTATTTCCTTGAACAGCTTGATGAAAGATGAACAGTTAGGATAGCCAAGAGAAATAAATTTCATTACATCATTCTCKGGTGTATATGTTTAAGTTAATGAGTTATGCTCAATTTTATTTTTTTGTTCTCTAATCTGTCTAAACTATGTTACAGGCTCCACTGATCTGTGAAGACTAAATAATGTGAAGGCTTTTACATAGTATTTTCTGACTCTGAAGAAAAAACTCTTGTTTGTTTCTCTTAACCTGTGTTGAGGAACCTTAACTATGGGAAAAAAATAGGAAACAGGTCTGATACAGAACTAAATGTTTACTGACGTATTTTTAAACAAGTGAAGTGTACTCTCATTGTGAGGTGAAGACAGTATAAACATTGCTGCAGACTTTTAATTTTATATTGACTAAGAAGTGGATTTTTTTTTTCCCAGCGGTGTAATAAGTCTGATSATTAATCTAGTATCCATTAAGAGTTCAAGACATCAGTGCTATGCACAGTGAGTTCTTTCATCCTCACGCCAAGAACCATTTTGCAGGCGTAATGCAAGGATGCCTACAGATCTGTGGGGGTATGCATAAACTCTAACCTGAACATCTTGTAGTGTTCTCAAGTGGGAGGGTAATTTCGCCTCTTCATTGATTTTACTGATGTCTCTTATGAGCAAGTAGTGCCATTTCTCTCAACCTGTGATGAATTGGATGTGCTACACAATGTGGGSTATTGCTCACCAGGTGATTAAGCAGGAACAACAAACCTGCTTTATTTTCTTTGAACGTTTCATGAGTGGTAGACACTTGCATCATCTTTGTACAATTGTAACATTTTGATACAGAAAAGAAGACTTCTGGTTTTTCTAGAGGAGACTGCCTGGGTTGACAAAAATGCTTACATTGCATCTGGACTGTTTACAAAAAATTGCTATGTTACTTGTACTGAAATCTTCAAAAATTTTATGACTAGTCTCTGCACTGTTAAATTAAGCTGTCCTAAGTACCTGCAGTAACCATGGTATTTAAAAGACTGGATTGCTGCAGCAGTTCTTTGTCTGGGATATGGTACATACTGTACTTGGATTTTAATGGAGCCATTTATACAGGTTTTATATTTTCTCATAAAACTCCTCAAGGTGAATGAAAACAAGAGTGGGCTAAATGTTTTCACTTCTCAGTGTTCTTTCTGTTACAGAATCTTGCTGGCTTTCCTAATTGCTAACTTATGCAGTTTCTTTGTCTTCTAGAATGTCGGGTGGTGAAATCTACTTCCTATACCAAAATAGCTTCGAGTTCACGCAGGAGCACCACCAAGAGCCCAGGCCCGTCCCGACGCAGCAAGTCTCCTGCTTCTACTAGCTCAGGTAAAGCAAGCAAGTAATCTTTCCKAACAACAGCATCCATTCTGCCGTTCTCTTTCGGTAGAATGGGCAATGCACTTAAAATTCCACCTTCCTGGGGAAAAACATTGTATGTATGAAAGAGTTGATAGTAAAAATTCACTTGTTTTCTCAGTGGCATCTGAGATCAAGTATCTTCTCAATAAAAATAAAAGCTTCAGCATCTTATAAATCATGATCTGTCACTACAGTGGTTCAATTCACTTTATTTTTTGTGCATGTTTTTGCTTCCAGTGCCTAAATACTGAGGAAAAAATGTTAGTTTTTGCACTAGGAGCTGAATGTAGCAGAAAGTAGCCCAAGTTATGCAGCTTAAGATCTGCGTCCCCAAAAGGTTAATTCCACAATCTTTGTCTTTTGTTTCTGAGGGAGTGAGGAGGCAGTAGTGACGAAAGGATTGATTAAAGGTCATGAAGATATTGATAAAAGAAGGGCAGGGCTGAGAAAGAATGTGATTACAGATGTGAGTGTGAGGTGCAAAGATATCTGAGGAATGAAATGTCAGAAGGTGAGGTGCAAAGATTTCTGAGGAATGAAATGTCAGAACTGACCTAACAAGCCAGTGATGCAGGTTGGAGAAGACTCAGCAAAAAGCTTTAGGATGTTCTGTCTGAAGGGCCTTGTTTTGGCTGCCTTTGCAGCAGCTCCCATTAGATAGCCAATGACTATTCACCCCTGCAGCTTTTTCCCAAGCAGAACAAATACATAAACAAAAAAGTGCATTAGATGATTTGCTGGTATTGGTGCCTGAATGTACAAATAATTCTCGGTGTGAGCAAGTTGGAGTAGACCCATTCAAGCACTTGCAGCATTGCTTGTGAATGCGTAKTTTGCAAGAGACAAACATTAGAGCTGTCTGAAAGCCACCTCCCTCTTTCTGCTTCAGTCTTCTGCCATCAGGAAAGCAAATGACATCCTGAAACCTGCATCCAGCACTGTAAGGTCTTTGTGGGGAGGTGGTGATCAGAATGGCCCAGTGCTGGTTTCAAAGAGGGTAGGCACAGACCAACTAGAACCTTTTCTTTTTTCTTTTTTTCTTTTTTTCTTTTTTTTTATAAAAAGAATAAGTGAGTAAAAAAAGCAACATTCTTGCTCTGGGAAGGAGGAAAGTGGGAGAGACACGATGAGACCCAGAGGAATAGATGTGGGTAGCAGGGATGGGAGGCAACTTGCCTCCTATACATCCTAGTGAAAAGCTGAGATACAGATACTGAAAAAAGGTAATGGGATGAAGTATCAGTTGTGATACAAGCCCAGAGTAGCTCTTTCATGAACATGTTAAGTTTCTTTGTAGTGGAACAGAGTTAAATTAAACTTTACCAAGGGAGGCCCTGTTTGGTGTTTGAATATTACAGGCTGGTGTTTTTTTTCTAATGAATATTTGTTAGTGAGTACAAATAATGAACACAGAACTGTATATGGTGATTTCTATGTGAAATAATTGTCGTGCTATGCATTTAAAAAATCTATGGTTTTTCTATGGGACTAGCAACATTTTTTCTGTGTTGACTGTGTGATACCATGCTAGTTTTGTTCCTGAGAGAAATAGTATTGTTTTTACTTAAACATGCTGGAGAAGTGTGGATGAGTGCATCTTAGCTTCTCGTAGTTTAATTCTATAAAGGTCTGAGCAGAACRCATTACATAGTTCAAAATATCAGGAGATAATTTTTCAGCCTATGGAAAAAATAGAATGTTTTTACTATTCCACAATAATAATTAATACATTATTAAAACCAATAGCAAGAGAGGAGAGAGTGTAATGAAAACTGTAAAAATGCAAGCCATTTTGAATGGTGCTGTGCCCATGATAGATGTAATCATCTTAAGCATTTCTTATGTGAGACCGATGCATTCACAGGAAACAGGCACATTTTAGTTTGTCAAAACATGATCGTTGCCTATTTCACATAATCATTTGGACATTGTACTTAGATTTTCTTAGAAAAAGTGTTGGACAAAGCCCCTCAGGAATGTATGGGATGCTGACAGAACAGTCTGTCACCTACTATAAGCCTTTGTGAAGAACTGGCTGAGGGATAGAATTCAAAAGATTGTAGGGAATGGTGCTACCTCTGCGTGGCAACTGGTCACCAGCAGCATTCCTTCAGGGTTCAGGTCCAGGGCCAGTTTTGTTCAATATTTTTATTGATGATCTGGGCAGAGGCAGTGAATGCACAATTAGCAGTATTGATGATGATAACAAACTGGGAGGGCTGTTGACTCTCTCAAGAAGCAAGGGATCTAGATAGATTGGAGCATCAGGCAATGATTAATKGGATGGAGTTTAAGGAGAACATATGCTAGATTGCACATCTGGGATRGAGTAATGCCCAGCATAAATATCAATTGGGAGAGGACTGGCTGGAGAGCAGCCATGCAGACAGGGATATGGGGGTGCTGGTTGGCAGCAGGCTCCTTACAAGTCAGCTGAGAGCCCTGGCAAATCTCATCCTGTGGTGTGTCAAACACAGTGTCACCAGCCAGGCAAGAGAGGTGATTGTCTTGATGTTGGTGTGGCCTCACTTTGAGCGCTGTGTGCAATTCTGGGCACCATAGTTCAGGAAGGATGGAAACGTACTCAAAATGTGTCCAGAGGTGGACAACAAAACTGGTGAAAGGGCCAGAAGGTATGTCCAATAGGGAGCAACAAAGGACTTTGGGCTTGTCTTGTTGTGAGAAAAGGACCCAATTGTTCTCTGGCTTCCTGGGGAGGGGATGTGGAGACAGAGGTGCTGAGCTCTTCTCTCTGGTATCCAGTGACAAAGCATGTTGGAATGCTTCAAAACCACACCAGGGAAGGTTTAGAATGGACATTGAGAAGCATTTCTTTAGTGAGAGGGTTATCAAGCATCCATGAAGGTATTTAAAAGATGTGTAGACATGGCACCTCTGAGGGACATGGTTTAGTGGTGGACTTGGCAGTGCTGGGATAATAGTTTGATTGGATGAATCTAAAGGTCTTTTCCTGTTTGAACAACTTAATGATTCTCTAGCTGGGAAGCATTCATTTACTAAGGAATACTACATGTTTGGTTGACCCTGGTTGGGTGCCAGATGCTCACCAAAGCCACTCTGTCTCTCCACTTCTCAACTGAATATGCTGAACTTTTGGTCAGCCCTGAGTTGGTCAAGCAGTTGGACTAGATGGCTGTTGCAGGATCCTTGCAAGTGAACTATTCTATTCTATTCTATTCTATTCTATTCTATTCTATTCTATTCTATTCTATTCTATTCTATTCTATTCTATTCTATTCTATTCTATTCTATTCTATTCTATTCTATTCTATTCTAAATTTGTCATGCTTAAAAAAGATAAGCAATTTAACATTTTTCTATATAATTTATTTTTATTGGGGGGAATGGCTCTGATTTGCCCATCTGTATCTCTGCTGTTTGCTTTCTGCAGAGAGTRAGGTCAAATTGTGTGGATGTTACAGGAAGGCTGTTTCTAACCCTGCATACATGATTACTTCGATCACTGTTACTTTTACACAAGGAAGCAATATTGTAGTAGGCAGCCACTTGCTATCAAGAATTGTTTTTAAATCACATAAAACTAATACAAGTCAATGATTATTTTAAAAATGCAATTTTATATTAGACATTGCATTTAAAAAAAACCAGCAGTAGAAATAAAGAGAAACATGAACTCTTATATGGTTTTAGACAAAACCCAAAATTCTCCCGGAAGTGCAAACAATGCATACAGATTTCACTTTACACTTTTCTGCCACCCAGCAAGCCTAAAAATACTGCCTGTTTCTTGGAATTATGGTCCTGTGACAGTAGCAGAATAGAGAAATTGCCATCTAGTGCACATCTGAGCAGATAACTTTTTCCCATGATGTCTACATTAAACATCTCAGTACGAGAGAATCTCCTTAATGACTTGTGTATAGCTGGAAGTTACGCTTTTGTTGTCGTGTCATTACTGCTAGGTATATGTACATGTGTAAGTGTATGTATATGTATTTTTAATCTGTGTTTTTAAACAGCTTTCAGTTGACCTTTGAACTACTTTCAGGGATTTTTCTTTCATTGGCAATTAGCATGGAAAATACTCAAGAATAAGACTAGATTCTTTGCTCAGATCAAAGGCAATACATATATATTACAAAAATTTAAAGGTGTATCATTTTCCAAAGAGTTTTGTCATAGAACAAAGTTGAAAGAAGTGGGGATAAAGGGCAGGCAGAAAACATCCTTCATAGTTTGCCCTTGACACAAAGCTAATCAAGGTGYATGGAAAAGAGAGTCTTGCTAATTAGAAAGAATCTGATTCCTTTTATTTCTTTTTGATTCTTGCTGCACTTTTCAAAGTCTGCACATTATAACTGCACAAAAGGATCGTATGTGTGCTTCAGTCTTGAATTAATGTCTGTATCAAGATAATACRCATGGATAATTACATGGGCCAAAAAAGGAAACTTCCATAGACAAAGACCATGTTAAAAAAGAAATATTAAAATCTCAAAGTTGAATATTAAAACTGATAAAACTGTAGAATGGAGAGAATAACCTTGAGTTACCTTTTTTCTCTTGTGTATGCATCTGTAACATATATAGTTTTTAATGCAGGTATTCAGCCAAATAGCTGATAAGGATTCATCATTTTTAGAGTTAATGAGGGCAAAATCTTTGGGCCATTTTTCTGTTATTAGAGAAATAGATGCATAAATGAGGCTAAAACATTTAGACAATGCCATCCTCAGCAACTGTTCTGCTTCTTTGACACAGAATTTCAAGTGGTCAGTGACTTAAGCCCAAACTTTGGTTTGCACTGAATGTCTATAAATTCAATGAAGTTCATGAGTTCCTTTTTCTGAGCAAATGGTGGTTCAGGGTGATAAACCTTCCCAAATTCATCCCAAAAGTTTCCGAAGCTGCTTACAGAAATCAAGTGTATTATTCTAAGCAGATTAGTCATTTGTTGTTTTTCTGTCTGTGTCTTGTTTTTGCAT